AGCGCGTCGCGTCCCGCCGTATTCCGCGATCCGTGCGCATTTCGCGCGGCCGCTTTTAGAAATCGGCGTGTTTTCGGAACCATGTAGGTAAGCCTGTCGCGGCCTCCAGACCTGTCGTCTACCTACGTGCGCGTGTACGGAAGGCACGCCGCTGAAAAGCACAGTCTATAACATTTCTAACGAAATGCGAACAATCTCATGATTTTCAAATGAATGCCGGTGAAAACGGGCGCTTAATCGCCTTAACTTTTACATATTAGAATTACTTACTTTTTCATATGATGCCTCAATTGAGACGTCATGTGAAATGATTGGGAGGATCTCATATGGGGAATTTTTCGGAAATCTCCGTTTAGGACTCAATGGAAATGTTTCAGTAGGATATACACTCGCGCTTTTGTCACTTTATGTCGAAGAAAAATTATCTCATTTCATGAAAAGTGGACCAGACGAAAACTGGACATGACGATGTGAAAACTCGGAACAAGGTCCATTTAAAGCTACAAATGCTTCCAAGCGACGGACAGCTAATAAAATCGGCTCCTTCGACACTTTGAAATATTATCCAGCGGAGCCTACCCTCGTTCAAGAAATAACTGAGAACAATGAATTTGAACACTGGTTTGGGACTTTCTACTTTCTGTCGAGTTTTTATGTGGTCCACAAATAATAGAAAGTCCACGGTTGCACGGACTGACTTTGTTTTTTTACGCACATATTCACCGAGAAAACATCGAGAGAGAGAGAGAGAGAGAGATTCTGAATAAAAAGTTCGCTCTGTCTGTCGCTCGTGACCTCGACACTTTGCGCGAATTCACGAGTCGCCTTTCGCGCCGACTCGACGACAACACGCGATCGAGATTAACCCTTAAGTAGGCGCATGGGGGTCAGAGCAGACTGGCTTCAAGTAGTTTCTCATATACAGGGTGTCACACAGACCATCCGTACCACCCGATGTTTTTGTAAACGCGACATTTCAGAGAAAAATGTTGCAGACCAAAGTTGCTCAAATTAATTTCGGAGAAAAAGATGATATAATAAAAAAAATTGGGATTTCCATTTAAGAAAATTGATGATCAGTGAATATCTCGAAAGTGGCGCCATCTATAAACAAAATGCTACCGCTGTCTTATGTCCCCTTCGAACCAAACAACTTTTACCTGAAACATTTTTCTCTAAAATGTCACGTTTACAAAAAAATCGAGTGGTGCGGGTAGTCTGTGACACCCTGTATGACCTACTGAAAAATTTCTATCGAGATTTAATTTCTATCGATTTAATTTCTATCGAGATCTAAGATGAGATTCCCCATATATGAGATCCTATATATGAGATCTCAATTGAAATATCAAATGAAAAATAAATAATGATATTTCAATCGCGATATCATGTAAAAGAGTAGCAAAGTTTTCCTATCTTCCTCGATTGAAATGTTTACTTCTTCATATGATATCTCAATTGAAGTATCATGTGAAAGAATTGAGATTTCACATACGAAATCTATGAGAAATCTCATTTTAAATCTCAATAGAAATTTTTCAGTAGGGGAATGTACAGGAAGATGTCTATATTTTGTTAACTTCAAGAGAATTTATTATTGTAGATATTTTTGTTTCTTTTTTTTTTTTTTGTTAAAGTGATAAACTTCTATTATGAAACTGCCCTCTCTTGCATGACGCGCCCACTTTTGCCGGTGCGCTTACTTAAAGCTTAATTCGTCCCGTGGGATTTCCGACAAACCGGGGGATGCCCGAAGGACTCGGGATCTCACCGCACGATGCGTCGTCGTTCCTCCGACACGGCTCGACCGGTTAATCCGAGCGCGGCGCGGCACGCTTGCTATTGACACTGACACGCTTTCCCGATATATCCAAGTCATTATGCGCATTAGCATCGGGATTAATGTGCATGTTTTCGCTCAAGGTCGCGATAACGCCGCGATACACTTGCACAATTCGCCGCGCGGCTGCCGCGGGATCAGATCGCGCCGTCAAGGAAAGCGAGAAAATCGCGATCGTAGATGGGGAGAACGGCGCGCGTTATTCCTGACGGACTCGCACTTTGCATCGCTGCATTGTGACCGGCCGCAGCTCGTTCCACCGCTGATTTACGAGACGGACTTATCGAGACCCGCAAATCGTCGCAAATCGTCGCGCGACGAGTCGACGACTCGTGTGAGTGACTTTCCCGCGCGACCGTGCGCTGAGGCTGCGGATCAACATTCATCCGAGTCCCCACGAGTTTGAAAGTTCAAGTCTGTTTACACGTCGGTTTACACCGCGATTCTGCATTCCGCCGCGGGGCGAGAGAGAGAGTCGATCCGCGATTATCGGCCGACTCGAGCGCGTCTCCAATTAGTCGAAAAGTGGCGCCGGTTACGCGTCGCGTAATCACCGCGCGCGCGAGCGCGAGAAATAAAGCGGGGAGTAATAACTGTCCGCAATAACCGAGAGCGGTCATTCAGAGACGGCTAATGACAGCGACAGTCTTCATTGCGACGCACTGTCGGCGGCAAATAGAGCGGATCGACGAATACCATTGACTGACAAGCATACATGCGCCCGCGCCCGCGCGCGCAATTACCGTCATTGCTCTACCCGCTCGGCGCGACTTGGACAATCGACAATCGACAATCGAGACGAATTGAAAAGCGACTCGCTCTCTGAGCTTCCCGGCGCGGCGGGAAATTTCGCTCGAAGAGCACCGAGTCGCTTGAATTTGTACGATTCTTCGCTCATTTAAAGCGA